GATTTACTACCATTAGTACATTTGGTGAAGCTTAAAAGGTAATTATGAAAGAAGAAAATTGATTAATTCTGTTTAATAAAAATGTGGCTGTCAGTAATAGTTTAATAGACAGTAAAGCCAAAAGATGAAGTCATTATAAGAAAATCTTGCAAAGATTTAATAGGCTCTAATCAAGGCATGAGACAGCCTTGAAGTCATACTAGTCATGAGGTGAAAGGTCCACCCCACGTCACCCTTCCCTACCTACTCCAATTGTAAATAATAATAATAATAATAAAAGTTGAACCTCAATTTTAAGGATCCTATCGTTCCACCACTAAAACTTTGTGAGAGAAGTAAATCCCGGAATGTGTCCCAATAGGTCAGAGAACAAGAGCTGCCTACAAAGAGTCCAATTCCATGTTTCAAAAATTGAACCCTCACACTGCCACTGCTAACAATGCGTGAGATAACCTCACTCTTGATCTTTGTAAATAATATTTATGGAAATTAATGTTAAGGTTACACATCATCGATTGTTCAAAAGTGACCAGACGAATTTACACATGTAAAATCAGTTGTACCAATTATCAACCTAACACAATTCATAAATTCTGTGGAGTTCTAATCAGTACTAATTCAAAAAAGATGTGAATGGGCAACGGTCCAAGACTAATCTAATTTAAAATTTTCTGTTAAATTTTGAGCCTTTTGTTGAGATGTTGCGTGTCTGTCCAGAATGAGTGATGGATATAAAAATCTCACTTCAACACGATTCTTAAATTTAATTCAGATTTACACCTCTATAAATGCAAAAATTTAAAGTGGGACAAGTTATGGACACAAATCCACCCTTGTACTAATCAATGTATAGTTCACTTTGTTATATAAATTCACCCGTTTGCACGTGGAGCCGTCCATATAACGAAATGAGTTCTCATTTTTCACCCCTCTTCAATTTGTGGTTGATAATGACTTCATTGATCACGACAATTGAGTTTTTACAAGCTTTTAGTAATAAATTATGGGTCAACGGTGACAAATAGATCGAGTCGCTCACAAAATTCGCTTATCTTAGTTCGGTCCAAAGGACAGCTTGAGATTGAGTCAAACACATTTTTTTATGAACTAATGATCTTATTATGAATTTTAGATTTTTTTATAAATTCCTTTAAAGAAACGAGCCAAGTCACAACCTCATGGACGGATCAGCTCAGCCAATGAGGCCTAAGAGTCGAAGGGTCGAATAGAACTTAATATGTGGATACGAACCAAGCTCACTCGACTCAAAGTAATCCATTACCACCACTATTCCAACGTGAGACCTATAGCTATGACCTTATTTATGCAAGAAACAACATTACATATTTTGCGATTCAAAGTAATGTTCATTAATTTTAATAAAATATTCATATATATAGCCTTGCGACTATTACGACTTAATTACTATTACTGTATAAGTATATAGAGATATCTATATAATGATATCTAGCCACTGTTTGGTGAGGATAGAAATCAAATTTTTTGTAGATTTCGATAAAAATTAATAAAGTGCATGGTTGATAAATTATAAATCTCATGAAATATGTGAAGTAAAGTTAATTATTAACTTTAATTTAGATTAAAATCTAAATTATAATCCCTACAAAACGGGAACTAAAAATTATGTGACATATTGATACAACTTTATGTATAAGATACTTATTTTTAAATAGACTTCAGTTCGTTAGACTTTATTTTTCTTTAATATTGATAAATAAGAATACAAATAAATACAATTCTATCTACTCCAATAACTTAAATAACGAGATTTTATTCCAAATATATTGGTATAGTATTAATATTGTCAAAATATTTGCTTTTAATTGTCAAAATCTAGAGGGTGTTTGGTGAGGATTTTGAAAATTAATTTTTTTACAGTTAGAGATAAAAGTGGGTTCTATATGTGAAAGAAAAATTAAAAAATGAGTGCTGAAATAATGAAATAACGATTAAAAAATTGATTATAATTTGCTTAAAATTCCCCCCCAAATACCCCCTAATATTAATTGCCCCAGGGGAAAAAAAAAATTCTGTGTGAAAAATGCGATCGGAAGGAATTGTACGGTTTGGTGCAGTTGCTTTTGTGATGCTTAGCTGGAATTAGCGGATCACAGCTGGCATTGTACGGGGGCTGCGGAATACGCCGCTACACCGTCGCCGTTCTGCCACGTGCGTGACCCTGTTTGTAGACCCAGCCAAAACATAAATTCACCCCCGTGATATGAAATGTCTATTTTGCCCATTGCATTTTATTTTAATGCCTATAGGTCCTACTTATTTTTTGTGGGATTCAGAAAATAATATATTCTTTTGGACTTTAAAGTTGGAGGCAATGCGGAAGTTTGGTTGGTTTTACAATAACGCCCTTTGACAACGATTGATATTAGTCTTCAATTAACCTAACTGCCTAGTGTCAATTTAGATTGTTACTATAACATTTATTCATGAAGTTATGACACCGTTTGACAAACATGCTTTCTAAATTCATTTTTACACACTCATTTTCTACCATATATTTACACGATAAAATATTTTACACGTAAATTTAAATTTTTTTGTACATTTTAACTACACATTCTTCTAAAAATAAATATTAATGTTTTTTTTTAATCAAAAGTATGATGGTCAAGCAGGGCCTATATTATATTAAGTCAATAACATGAGTTTTGACCTTTGAACAAAGTTCTTCGTAATACATTCGAGAATCTTGGGTTCTATACTGATGTGACATTTCGTAACGAATTATAACGTAAGTTCAAATCTATGAATCTATATAATAGTAATCATCCTTGCTAATACTTATCAAAATGGTAGAATTCATTGTGTGTTTTTTATTTAGAGCCTACTTGATGCTCATGCATTTTGAAATAGTGATTTGATGGAAATGTATGATTAAAAAATAAATAAATAATTGAATTTATGTGTAATATTATTTTATTAAAAAATGTGTTCTTGAAAAGAACATAGAAAAACTAATATTTTGAAAAAAAAATAAAAAAATAGGAATCAAACGAGACCTTTGGAAAAATGGATGTACATTGCCACTTGGAATTATTTAGGCCTTCAATAATTTGGATAGATATTTAGTTTTGAATGGTGTATTTCCTTCGATATTTTGAAGGAACCTCTTTTCTGTAATAATAGAAACAAACTCAATGAGCTCATTTATACTTATTTGGACATATCTATTATATTGATGCATGAATTGACTCGTGGTGTGAGTGAATTCGTATCAGGTATAGCTAACGAAGGTTTAGTGTGATTTTGATACCAGATTTGGACAACAACTTACATTTTGATTTTGTCTTACATTTGAGTTTCCTTTTTAACTATTATTTCTTCAATAATATACCGACTATCTATTGACTGTTCGTTTTTCATCATCACTTCAAAACACGTAATAATTTGTTGATTATCTTTTTGAGTATTCAAAAATTCTCCATTTTTAATTATGTTGCATTATTGTAAAATCATGCTTGAATTAAAACTTTTTGTATAGTTTAGAGGGTTTCATTAAGTCAACAACATATAATGTTGTTTTTCCTTTTTGTTATGCATATTGGTCTACGTGAAAATTTTCTTGACTTAATTGCCTCAATAAATAAAAATATTTTCTATTGAAAAAATAAACATCTTTTTTGGTATGGTAACACGTGCCTTTTCTCATCAATAGAATTTAGTGGTGTGGCTCGGACCTTAAACACTCGAGCTCAACTCGTGTCCAAAATAACTGCTCGATTTAGCCCATTAGCTCGTGAACCTAATGGGCACTTTAAAAGAATTTTAAATCTCATCGTTTTTTCGAGCTTGTGATCAATTACTTTAAACAAAGACAGAGATAAAGTTTTACGCTTTTATTATTTGGATCTACGAGTACCTAATGTTGAGTAGATATTGTTATAATTATTGAAATTTATGTTACAATTGACTTATCGAGTTAATTATCACCTTTATGAAATGTTGTATCGGAATACAATGCAAATTTACAAACCAAAATCTTCTCTGCAAAATGGATATAGAATAATTCGTTTTAATCATCTTCGAATTACTTCATTCTAAACATACACAAAATTCAAGATAACTAGAAAACAAAATCAATATCAAACCCAAACCCAAACTAAACTAATCTTTCACTACCTATATCCACGATACGAATCAACTCATGCCACAATCCACTCGTCAATATAATAGACATGAAAGTTTTACTTTTATGGCTACATATACTATAAAGACTAACGTTGTTTAGCTTCACTAGTGTTATAATATCAATCTAGATGGCACCAAATATCATTAAATGAAATGTACAATTAAACGAATTACATAATTTCACTTTTGTTTGAACCTATCACATAATTTTATATAAATTAGTGTTCTAGTACTATTGTTGTTAGATAGCATTATCGTACTACAACTAAGTGGAAATAAGCTCGTCATATATGTTTCTACAATTGCAAAAAATAATAATAATAATAATAATAAATAAAAGGGGTCCCCATCAACATAGAACCCACCTTATCACACCTAAAAAAAAGATATTTATATTTCTTGATGAAAAATGCTTCACATCAACCATTTAAAATAAACATGATTTTATAATATCGTAATATAATAAATACGTAGCAATTGAAATTCTTAGAGAGTTAAGGAATCAACGTGCGATTCAAAGTTATTAATGAAAATGACAATTTAAATTTATGACAAAATATGAAAGTGAGCAATTGAAATCACTCTTTGAACTTTCAACTAAAAACAAAATCGATATCAAAACCAAACTATGCCGTTACAACCTATATTTGATAGAAATTCACTCACGCCACGTAGATCAGTAGAAATCACTTCAAGCATCAATATGGATAATGAAAATTTTACTTTTACAGCTCTATACAATGCAAATAAGAAGTGTGCTTGTCACAATTGTTTCTACTAACGTGAAAAGGATGTCCCCATCATCATAGGTCAATTAATTAAGTTACACCTTTCGAATAATAAAATGCAATCCAAGTCCGAATCCAATTCGATGTTGACCCGAGAGGGCCAGGCCCAGCCCAGCCCAACGTCCACTCAAAAAGCCAATGGCAAACCAATAATTTCAAACCAATTCCAGTCCCTTTTACAATAGACAGGAAAAATCCCATATGGCGAAATTTCTCGATTTTCTAAGCGGTCAAAGCAGATACCACAAAAGTGTGACAAATCCGGTATTCTTATATTTTACAAGGGCAAATCTGTCATTCTATATTCACTATAAGTATCCAACAGTTTTCTTTCCAAGAACACTCTCACCATTCTCTCTCTCTCTCTCTCTCTCTCAAACTTTTTAACGGACAATTCTTCTTCGTATCTCCACAGGCGGAAGAACCCAAAACGACACCGTTCGATTCCGCCGGCCACTGTTTTGATATCCATTCTTAAAAACGCCACCATTTTTGAGTTCTGTTACTGGTCTTGCAAGAATCCGATTGTTTAACAGCTGTTGAATCTTGATCGTTCAGTTTTGCAAAACGACGTCTTTTTAGTGGGCTGTACGAGTAAAAGGGCGAGGTATAAATATGGTTGATTAATTTTTGAATTCTTTTGACAGGGAGTGAAAGTCGTGTATATGGGTAAAGTGGGGGTAAAGTTGGCGGTGGGATGTGCGGTGGCCGCGTGTGTGGTGGCTTCGGTGATGGTGGGGCGTAGGGTGAGGAGGAAGAGGGCATGGAGGAGGGTGGTGAGGGTGCTGGAGGAGTTGGAGGAGGGTTGTGCCACTCCGGTGGGGCGGCTGCGCCAGGTGGTAGACGCCATGGCAGTGGAGATGCATGCCGGCCTAGTCTCTGAAGGCGGTTCCAAGCTCAAGATGCTGCTTACCTTTGTTCACAACCTCCCTAGTGGGTAAAGCCCTGAAATTTGGTTTGTGCATAAATACACGAATGTGCGTGTTGCGTGTATGTATCTGTTATCCATGTACGCGTCAATTGCATGCGCCATGCATCTGTGAGTTACTTGGTGTTAGTTTCATCTATATCGGTGCTTGGACGCCCTTTTACTGGTGGTGGTGGTAGCGAAGATATAAAATTTATTTCGTTTTTAAAAATGGTGGATAAAATTTTTAATTTTTTTTCCTTTTTTATCCCCTTCCTGGTTGCATTTGATTATTTTGTGAATTTTTATTTTTATTTTTATTTTTTGAATTTTCTGGAATGTGATATGAACCTTTTGCGTCCTTGGACTTGAGAAGATATTATGTGATGTGGGGGTGAATTTCAGAATTGGCTTTTTGTGAAATTTTTTTTTTTTGTCTTTCAAATTTTTAGCTTCGATGGCCATCCATTTCTTGGTTATCTTTTTCAGTTTTGGTATTTAAAAGTTCCATTTGAATTATGATGTTTTAGTATGAAATCTCGTTTTCATAAAGTCCTTTAGTTATTTTCTTTTCTCAGAGGGGCGCCACCAATGTGACAGTGTACGATAGAATTTTTTAGTTTTAGTGGGTTTTATGTTCATTAATTCAATTAGCCCACCGATTGCTTTGCTGGCTCTCTTTAGCACTATGTTCCATATTAGTTGTAGCATTTGCATGCTGTTATGTGTTGGTTGAATCTCATTGTCTTGTGGATGGTGGTGTGATTAATGCAAGGGCATTAGTTGAATCTCGTTGTTGTTTTCTAGTTTACGATGATGGGTTAATGCGAGGCATTAGTTGAATCTTGCACATGGTGGTGTGATTAATGCAACAAAGTTGCAATTGGGCACGTCTGACACACTTTGTTAGACCAGATATGGGATAATTCTTATCCAATACTGCGTTTGGGGTATATAATCTCCTGTATGGTGGTGTGATTAATGCAACAATATTACCATTGGGCACATCTGGCACACCGTATTAGATCAAATAGGGGATAATTCTTATTTAATACTGCCTTTGGGGTATATTGTGCTCGCATTAAGTTAATACATTAATTGTATCCTATGTTAGCTGGATAAAGTAATCTCAAGGGGGGGATGGCTTAAAGCTGTACTAAATCTTAGAAACGCGAGATAATACATAAATGCATCAGACTGTCTTCAAACATGGGTTGATATATGGTATCTTTGGCTTTCTTAATTTTGTTTAGTCTATTGAGCTATAGCAATAATTATCTCGCAAATCTTCTTTTCTTTAATTTCATCTTGTAATATTAGGTAGCTGCTTTGAAATTTTGCGTGGTGGTTGTATATTGTATTCCTTCAGCTGAAAACTTTTGATGTCACAATTGGAAAACATCCGGAAATAAAACTTTATTTCAGTATTGTCTAGTTGGTTTTTAGTGATTGTCTATTAAAAGTTCAAAGTTTTAGTTCTCTGATCAGACAATTCAAATTTCCTTTGTTTCTTTTCATCCTGGTGTACGATAATGTTCCAGTCTTTGTAAATTTGCTTGGACCTAAATCTGTGATCGCTACAAACTGCTAATGAATGGTAATTTAGGATTTCCAACCTCTGATAAGATAGTCTATTTGCTTGTCTAGCTTTATGAGCTAGCACTTGATATTTCTGTTCAAGTTATAAAATTTGTTTGGTTTATCACTATGCTAGAATATTTTGTTAGATTTATCCTAGAATCTTCTTTTCCAGGAGTGAAAAAGGGACTTATTACGCTCTGGATCTTGGTGGTACATATTTTCGGATTCTACGGGTTCAATTAGGAGGCCAAAGGTCTGCTGTTATTGGACAGGATGTAGATAGACGACCTATTCCTCAGCATCTCTTGACAGGCACTAGTGAGGTGGTTGCTGAGTTTGTGCTTTTCTTGCTTTTGAGTTTTTGGCATTAATTGTAGAGATTTTAATAGTTTTGAGACTTGAAATACTGAAATTTTCTTCCCTTTTTTTTTTCCATGAACAGGAGCTCTTTGATTTTATTGCATCATCACTGAAGGATTTCGTTGAAAGGGAAGAAAATGTTTCTGAACAAATACCAAGTGAAAGAAGGGAACTTGGCTTTACTTTCTCATTTCCAGTGAAACAAACTTCTTCTTCATCAGGCATTCTTATTAAATGGACAAAAGGGTTTGTCATTGAAGACATGGTTAGTTATAACATGTTTATTTTACTTTGGTGCTTGATGAATCGCCGTCAGTGTTGTGCAAGAAAGAAATCTCTTTTGGGGAAGAATGTGTATATTCCCCTTTTCTTTTATTCTTTTTCCTTGTGTAGACAATACTTTCATGTGCATGTGCTAAGATGTGTTACGTCAAGCAGTTGTTAATTAATGAATGCACCAGAAGTGGCTTTGATTGATTTTGGTCATACTCTTGTGTACACATTTATTGATGATTTTTATTTTTCAGAGAATCATGAAATGATACTATGTTATGAAAGATCAAGATTTGCTTTAGTTTCCATAATAAATCTAGAGTCAACATCCAACAAAATGATAACTTCTGCGAGGACCTGCTGTAGGAAAACTTATGCAGTATGATATATTCTGTTGCCAGGTTGGAAGAGATGTTTCTGAGTGTCTACAGCAAGCAATATCTAAAAAAGGCCTGGATATGCGGGTGAATGTACTTGTAAGCATACGGTTCCCAGAAAATATTGCTTTATATGTTGTTATACTTATGCTTATGCAGAGTCAAATGAAATATTTTGGTCTCATATCTTGGACGCGAACTATATTAGCCCCCGTTTGGCCCCCATTCTTGCCAAATTTTAATGGTTGGAATGGTATTTTTTTGAAAAATGTGTGGTTGAAAAAGAATGAAAAGTTTTTGATATGCGTATAATATTATTTTATGGAAGATTGTGTGGTTGAAAATAAGAGAGAGAAAAAGAATGAGAAGGAGAATGGGGACCAAATGGGGGCTTAATCTGTTTGTGTTGTTCCAGCCTCGTTATATAGTATATAACAAATGGATGTGCTCAGAACTTTTTGTTCATCTGAGCTTGCTGTTCTAAAGTACTGCTATCGAATTTTCTTCTTACACTGATTGACTGCTTTAATATGTCCTTCGAGCCAGCAAGTTTATGTCTATCTAATTTGTTGTGAACAAAAAGTGAACTTTTAGTCCACTTGGCATCTCATTGGAGAATCATCCAACTCACAAGCTATTCTCTCTTTTTGGCTGATAGCTTTCAGACATTTTTCTTCCTCAGATGCCAAAATTTGTTCAAAATCTTTTCTGGTGTTCGGTATTAGGCATTTATAGTCATAAATTTAATAATATTTTTCTTGCAAGCAGATAAACGATACCGTGGGAACATTGGCTGTTGGTCATTATCATGATGAAGACACAGTAGCTGCTGTGATTATTGGGACAGGCACCAATGCTTGTTATTTGGAGCGAGCAGATGCAATTATTAAGTGTCAACGTCTTCTTACAATGCCGGGAGACTTGGTATCCTTGAGTTTTGTTCAATGGGACATTTGTTTATGATTTTTATTTATTTTACAATGATTTGTATTATAATTTATTGTCATTAGGTAGTCAACATGGAATGGGGAAATTTTTGGTCGTCTCATTTGCCCCGAACATCATATGATAATGACCTGGATGCTGATAGCCCAAACCCATATGATCAGGTGAGCTTTGGCCTCTTTTGCATATCTGCATTTATAACAATTTCTTAGTTTCAAATTTAGCTCAATATATTGGTTTTTGATATTGACGAGAGGATCATGCTTCAGGGTTTTGAAAAAATGATATCAGGGATGTATCTGGGAGACATTGTGCGTAGAGTAATTCTTCGGATGTCAGAGGAGCTGGATGTTTTTGGACTAGTATCTTCCAAATTGCACGTGCCTTTCATCTTGAGGTCTTTTTCTTATTGTTAGTCTTTTTATATCTCTATTGTTTCTTAATCAGCATGTGGAGGAGATTCATGTATACACCCACTGAAAGACTATTGATGAACATTCTACCAGTTCTTGTTAGTATATAACTGGAAGAAAAGTCAGTAAAGATTTTCAAGATGTATCATCCTCTGGAATATCTGCTGCATATATGATGTAGGATACACCATTTTGGCAAATGTATAATTTAGAATAAGACACTTTTTAAGTGAAAATTTGAGAGTTCAAGGTGTTCTCAATTGAATTTTTAGGAAAATCACTTAAACATGCTCCCTTATTATGCCATATAAGTGATGTTTGTCCTGAAATCATTCGCTTTATAGTAATAGTAATAAAAATTGAGAGTTTGTATGATGCCGTCTTATTTGATGCCAAATTATGCAAGATAATTGCTAAGAATATGCTGCAAATGGTACTTGTCCATACCAGCATCTTGTAATCCTTGAAGTACGTTCTGCTGGTATCAAGGTTGCACTTGCTTACAGGGGTGAAAAATGGTAAATGAGAATCACTATGGGGTTTACTTTAGCATTTTGTTTCAATTCCTATTGTTTACTGATCTTTTGTTTCCATATGCTTTCACAGTGTTTTATGCTCTGCATTGTTTTGTGTCTTGTAGTCACAGATAGTTGCTGATCTTTTGTTGCCTTTTATTTATTGGTCTTATTTTATTTAAGAAGTTTTTAATATACTTTTGATAATTTTGTGAGTATATTCTCGGATCTTCTGTTTAATTTTTAGGACACCTTTGATGGCTGCTATGCACGAGGATGATACGCCCGATTTCAGGGAGGTGGCCAAAATTTTAAGAGACACCTTAGAGGTTGAGCTTTTCTTGCATTTATTATGTAGTTGCATTTTGAATTGGCACGTTTGGCTAAGCTTAGCCCCTATTTTTCACCCATTATTTCACATTCTACCATTTATTTTTTCTACATTTATCATTTTCAACCACACATACTTTATTAAAATAAAATTACACGCAAATTAAAAAATTTTCCTTCATTTTTAACTACACATTCTCCGTCTATCTACTATTCCATAATACATTTTTCAAAATTAAAGGGGCTCACAAACACCCTTAATCTGTTTACATGCATGCTTGGTTAAGCATAAAAAGGTTATTTTAAAAGCAACTCTTACCTTACTGTAAAAGTAAATAACTTATTTTCACTTTTTAGCTATAAAAATATTATTTATTTACTTATAAGTGATCTTTAAGCTCTGCCAAACTCCTCTTGGTAAAAATCTTAATCATAGCATTGATCACTCTCTGTGTTTCTTGATGACTTCCAATTTCAGTTCTCCGAAATTCCTCTAAATGTTCGGAAGCTTGTTGTGAGGGTATGTGATGTGGTGACCTGCAGAGCAGCCAGATTGGCAGCTGCGGGTATTGTTGGAATACTGAAAAAGATTGGCCGGGATGGAAGTGGCGGCATAGCCAGTGGAAAAAATGAATGCGCAAGCCGGAGTGAGATGAGACGAACTGTGGTGGCGGTTGAGGGGGGTTTGTATACAAACTATACGTTGTTCAGAGAATATCTGAACGAAGCAATGACACAAATATTAGGCGAGGAGATTGCACCAAATGTCATCATCAAGGTGATGGAAGATGGATCAGGCATTGGAGCAGCTCTCTTAGCTGCATCTCATTCGACCTCCAGTGTGGATACCGTACAGATACCATAAATGAAAGAATATATGTAGTCCTTGTAGATATGTAGAAATCACATGCATATCTTATTTAATGTGGAAAAGGGTGGTTGTTTTCGTGTTTATCGTATAGTAATAGGTTATTTGATAGGTGGCAGTTTCTCCTGATGATATTTTCCAAATGTTCCTATTCAGTTTGTAGTCTTGAATAATTGGTCATTTTCCATTTTTGTCTGCATAGTTGCAGTGCAACAATAGTTGAGTTTATTAACTTATTCTATTAATTCGTTTATATGTTATCAGGATTTGGCATATCGTTGCTTGTTTATGTTAGGAGCTGCTTTTGTTTTCTTGCCCTCCTGACCAAATCGTAGCCTCTTGTTTCCACATTCGGAGGGACAATGGTTTCACTGTTGTTGGAGTCGGGCAGTGTTAGACGTAACATTTCTTGTTTTCAGACATCATAATATTGTGGGCATGTCCATGTGAGGAGTAAATTTGAAATGAGCATGTAAAAGTCACTTCTCATTTACAAGCGGGTTTTAAGGGTAAGTTCCCCCATAAGCACAGTGAATGTCAATTATGTGCAAGCGAGGTGTAAAGGGTAGCTGTACCTAGGTGCTCGACTGCTCATAGCAAGCGATTTCACAGGGAACCTGAGCTTTAACATGAAGAAAAATTGCAAGTACAGTGGTATTCTATAGTTAAATCGTCGTCTGAGTCATTTGAGTCTCTATTCATTTCTTTCAATTAGGGATTAGTATAACTATGAACATAAACCATGCATTTTGGTGTTAACTAAAATTTGTAGCCTGTTCACCATCCGAAGTCTTCTTTTCTTGCTGTGTCCTCTTTATCATGCAAATATTTGACCTAATCATAGACATGCAAAATGTGAAGGAACCTCATATTCGCTAGGGTTTCTCACACTGAAATTGAATTCACAAAGGTAACAACCTGAATGGCCTCCATTTACTCGAGAAACACCTTTTCAAATCTTGGTTACTTGGAGAAGAATTAATTCATTCATGGAGTAAACAATGCCAATGATTTATGCGATAAATTACCTGAAGTTCTTCAAAGTTGATGTTATTAATGGAGTCTTGAATGCGAAAATGATGAAGAAAATGACGCAACTCGATATGGGATGCCAGATTTTGTAACAAATAATCCTAATCCTAATCCCAACAGGAAAAACCAGAATCCAAGAGTGTAACTAAATGATTTTTTCCAGGTCGTCCCAGATGGCCATCAGAAAAGAGAAATCTGAAGTTTAATATTATGAGCTCAGAACCAATGAAAATGCCCAAGAATCTATTCAAAATGCACTTAATAAATGGGCTAATGCATCGCCATTTATAACTTCAACAAGAGCATATGAATTGAAAACAGTTGTATTGCATTCTTGGACTAGGGCATGGTCATGACAAGAATGCACTCCTATATTAAAACCTAGTAAGAGAAGGGGCTTAGGGTTTCATGATATCCTAGAAACTAAAACAATCACAGATTCAGATAAACTACATTCCTTGCGTCTTATAAAGATAAATTTACTTTCCTTTTTCATCTGCCCAAATTATATGTAACTTTCATTGTTGAAAATATAGTTAATTTCCAATTTTCTAATAGGTCCCTATTTAATGTGTCTTGTTCTCAACAAATAATATATGAATTACTATTATTCAATGTAGGGCTATATTAGAAAGACGCAAGTAAAATTTATAGTTTTAACTATATTAATTAAGTTTTCTTAATCTGTGAAAAAATTAAAGTGAGTTTATTATCATGGGCCGAAAGCCAAAGGGAGTAGGTATCCATTTTGAATGAATCAAATAAAACATTGGGATTTGTGTGAACAATCCTTTGGTCTGAAATGTAGCAAGCAGCCACGTAAATTAATGGCAAAAAATTGGTGGTATGGAAAATTCTATTTGTACAACATTGGGTGACAATGTTGGGTCACAACAGTACGTGTATGGGTATATGGTAAATATCTAAATATTAAGTTAAAAATGTTCAAAAGGGAAAGGCATTCATCAATCAAATTCTATCCAAAACACACCTTTTATTTCCCTCAGAAATGGATACAAAGCTTTATTTCTTCGAATATCAACTTGACCTAAACCCTATCTCATTCCGGCTCCCACAATTGGGAACATGACAGCACCCCCATCGGTACTATGCTCTAGTCCGATAAATCAAAGTGTAGCCTTCCATAAGTCGGCGAAGCAATACAAATGTTGCATCTCAAATGACGAAAGCTCAGTAGTCGAAAGCATTATTAGCTTATGCTTCGACCCAAGTAGCACAAGACACATGAAATCCTGTGTAAATCAGTAACGGCCATCTTGCAAAGCTAAATACTCTTGGTTGACCGATACAAAATAGTACCTTGAGGGAAAGGCGAAAAATAATCCCGATCAAGGAGTGAAATAGAACATGAAACCGTAAGCTCCCTAGCAATGGAGCTCGAAAGCCTGAGCAA